GGGTGGCGATGCAGAAGCAGCTGGCATGTCCTCTTTTGGAGAAAAAAAAAGATTTTTGAGGGCGGGCACCTGCGTGGATGGGTTTCAAGGTTAGCACCCTCCATGGACGTTTAGCAGATTGAAAGCCTCCTGGGCAGGAAGTGGGAGAGCAGGATGAACCGGCTGAAGGCCAACACTGACTTTAGCCGGAGGTTAGAGGAACAAGCTTCCGAGATTAAGCTGTCTCTAAAGATAGAGCCGTGCTCTTAATATATCTTGGAACCAGCTAGGAGAACTCTGATCGGCTTTGTTTGGGTGACTTCAGGGATGTCCCCCTTCTTAAGTTCGCACTTGGACCCTGGAGGGAAGCGGCAGGACGATACCTTGGCTGGAAAAACCTTGCAGGTTGCAGGGATGAAGTGAATTCCTTTCCAGTGGAAAAATCCTGGATCGTTGGAGAGCCACAGTGAGCAATCCTTGCCAGACTTTTACAAATGGTTTTCTCCAGGATAAAGAAGGGCTTGGAGCAGCCCTTCAAGGAATGTACACATTGGCACCTGCTCGGGAGTATTCTGAATAATTGGCCAATTGTGGATTGAGGAGAGGATCTTTGCACATGCTAAAACAGGCCTTTGCAAGCAGACCGTGCTATATAATCAGAATTGCAGTCCTCGGTTTAGTGACTGAAGTTACAGCGGCCCGGGAAAAAAATGACTTACGACCGGTCCTCGCATTTATGACTGTTGCAGCATCCCTGTGGCCACATCAGAATGGCCACCAGCAGGTGTTTACGACGGTTGCAGCATCTCTAAGTCAGGTGATCGCCATTTCCCTGCGGACTTCTGATGAGCAAAGTCAATGGGAGAGGCCGATTCACTTAATGACCGCATGATTCACTTAATGACTGCGGCGATTTGCTTAACAACCATGATTAAAAAGTCATAAAATCGAGTGCGGCTCCCTGCCTGGCTTAGCGGTGGAAATTCTGATCCCGATTGTGCTTATAAGTCGAGGACTCCTTGTCTGGGAGACCAGCGTTGTTCAACCTTGGCAACTTGAAAAACTCGGTGGACTTCAATTCCCAGAATTCCCCAGCCAGCATGTCCCCCTGCTTAGGACGTCCCTTAAATAGGATTCCATTAAATAGAGGTTTCAATATCTGTGTATTGATAACCCAGGTTGTACGAGAAGCAAGATCTGTAATCTTCTCCCCATCCCAGCCTAATCTCTTCAGGACTTCTCCGGAGTAAAAAAAAAAAAGGTGTTGGAAGACTTTTTATCCCCTCCCCTTTGCATAGGACTGTGATAAACCTGAATTATATTTCCATTCCATTATATAGTCCAACGATAGAAGTAGTTCAGTTTGGCTTCCGTATCTAGGCGTCCGTCCTAGTTATGCAGATCAGTGTGTAATACAGTTGGAAATGCCTCTCCCATTTTTCAACAAGGTGCAAAACAACTCACTTCCTCTCCTCTTGTACTCATTAGAAACTTGGGGGTTGGTTTGGGATTTACAGTATACAACTTACCACCTCCACTGAGGCCAAAATTTCTGTGGCTAAGTGAGACAGATGTTAAGTGAACGTCGTCCCATTTTACAACCTTCCCTGCAGCAATTGCTAAGCGAATCACTGCAGATGTGCAGTTCAGAACACGGTTGTTAAGTGAATCTGGCTTTCCCCATTGACGTGGCTGGTTAGAAGGTCACAAAAGGGGGTCCTGTGGCCCCAGCAAATCGCAATTGTCATAAATGTGAGTCAGTTGCCAAGCGTCTGAATTTTGATCACGTGATCCTGGAGATGCTGCAACGGTCGTTAAGGGTGAAAAACGGCCTTAAGTCACTTTATTTCAGTTCCATTGTAACTTTGGTCACTAAACAAAACTGTTGTAAGTTGAGGACTTACCTGTAGCTTTGTAGATCAGGCCCCAGTTTTTTGCAATACGCATCCCTGGGTGCATCGTTGAAGTCGGAAGGCAGCCATCAACCCGTACCTTTAGCCATGTGGCCAAGGGAAGCTCACACAGCCAGGTGTAATATTTAAAAGGCTGCCCAGTTCAAAACACACAAAGGGCCACTGAGCAGAATTGCAGGCTTTTCTGTGCCAGGGCCCACAAGTGTCTTATCTCACTGGCTCAAGTCCCGGACATCAGCAGAAAACTAAGATGAACAAAGGCACCATTCATGTGTACCGTCCACATCACAATTCCTTAACAGCATCCACACATCACTGATGCTGCAGTCTTTTATGGCTGCGTTCTGCTAGAGGTGTGTGGGGTGTGGACTTCAACTCCCAGAATTCCTTAGCCGGCATGAATGAATTTTTTGCTCCCAATTGTGGTCGTACAGACTGGCTCATAAACAGTGACTGTGAGAGGGACCTTGGCGTCCTAGTGGACGATCACTTGACTATGAGCCAGCAGTGTGCAGCAGCAGCATCCAACAAAGCCGATACAATCCTGGGTTGTATAAACAGAGGCATAGAATCAAGATCACGTGAAGCATTAGTACCGCTTTATAAAACCCTAGTGAGGCCACACCTGGAATACCGCAGCCAGTTTTGGTCACCATATCACAAAAAAGATGTTGAGAGTTTGGAAAAAATTCAGAGAAGAGCAACTAAGATGATCAGGGCACTGGAGAAAAAAACATATGAAGAACAGCTGTGGGACTTGGGTCTGGCTAGTCTAAAGAAAAGAAGAAATAGGGGAGACATGATAGCAGTTTTCCAGTGTTTGAGGAGCTGCCACCAAGAAGAGGGAGTGAAGCTATTCTCCAAAGCACCTGAAGGCAGGACAAGAAACAATGGTTGGAAACTGATCAAAGAGAGAAGCAACCTGGAATTAAGGAGAAACTTCCAGACAGTGAGGACAATTAAACAGTGGAACAACCTGCCTCCATAAATCGTGGGTGCTCCATCCCTGGAGGTTTTTAAGAAGAGGCTAGACAATCACTTGTCTGAGATGGTATAGGTTCTCCTGCTTGAGCAGGGGGTTGGACTAGAAGACCTCCAAGGTCCCTTCCAGCTCTATTCTATTCTTCTACCGACCTTTGGTGGTGGTGCATTGTGCAAATTTCTGAAGCAAAGATGCCAGTTCAGTTTCAGCCTGAAATCTCTCAAGACTGAATGAAGGAGGTTAGAAGAGATTTCAGGTAATCCTCGACTTAACGGCCACAATTGAACCCACATTTCCGTGGCTAAGCGAAACACTTGTTAAGCAAGTTTTGCCCCATGTGAGGACCTTTCTTGCCACAGTTGTGGGGTGAATCGCTGTGGTTGTGAAGTTAGGAATACGGTCATTAAGTGAAACTGGCTTCCACATTGACTTTTTTGGCAAAAGGTCGCAGAAGGGGATCACTTGATCTCGGGACCCTGGAACCGTCATAAAGGTGTCAGTTGCCAAGTGTCCAAATTTTGAACACATACATGACCTCGGGTCATAAGTGTGAAAAATGGTCATAAGTCTCTTTTTTTAGTACCATTGTAACTTCAAACAGTCACTCAACAATGTTGTAAGACTAGGACTATCTATATTTTAATGCCACGTGCAAGGGGGGGGAACCCAGAAAAATTATTGTACGTGTAGCAAATGCCCCCTGAGACTTAAACCTTATGAACAACATCAGAATTATTTGAAATTTGGACAGGTGTGAGAGAATCTGCTAACTGTCTCTTCGGCAACATGTTCCACAAGGGGATCTGGGGACAAGGTTGTTTGGCTGGCATGGTTTATCTCCCTGGTGATTCACACACAATGCCACAGCCACACCTGTCGATTCAAGGTGAGGTTGGCTCTGTCTAATGTGTTCCTTTCTCCAAAAAGTCTGATTCATTGGGGAGGGCAAATGTTTGCAGGCCCTGAGGCGGCCAGCTCCACATTGTTTCTGTGCAAAAGGGGAGGTAGCAACGAAGGTGCCGTTGTCTAACTCCTGAATTGTGAGAACGTCAGCAAGACGAGGACTGCAGATCAGGAGAAGCCACCGTTGAGACCCAACTGTGGTTGGCTATGTCACCCAAGATGTAGCAGGCATGTTCTACAGGACACCATGGATGGGTTCACCCAGGGACTCAAATGGCAAACTAGGGTTGACTGACCACAGATGGTCGGCTTTTATGGAAAATAAGACAATCATGGTTATCCCAAAGTCCAACTGGACTTTCTTGGGTTTTTTTCCTCCTTGAAAATGTTTTGCTTCTGATCCAAGAAGCTTCTTCGGTTCTCAGAAATCTGTTGGATGAGTAGCAAAATGTTTTCAAGGGAAAAAAAACCCAAGAAAGTCCAGTTGCCTTTTGGAAAAGCACCTTTGGGACAACTGTGACCTGGATGATGGAGAATCTCTTTAGACAATCATGATTGCATTGTAGGCAGAGATGGAGAAATGGGGGAACAGGACAACTTGCCCGCCTCCCCAAATTCCTCGGCATGATAGAATAAAAGTAGGTGGACGATGGTGGTGGTGATGATGATGAATTATAAACAGATACTCTTCCAGCTCCTGAATAAAACTCTTCTCCAGAGACCACATATAAGACGTTTCATAACACATTTTCCATCAAGCAAATTTGTGAGTTGCAACTCATTTCATCACCAACAACTCACTCCAGGCCTCTGAAGTAAGCTCAGGAAATCCAAAGCCTTTGAATCAAATAGACAACTCAGAATAGGTGCTACTGGACCTCTCTTGATCTGTTGGCCATCATAGACTTTCCTGATGTTAGAACAATCAACCAGTGGGACAACTTGCCTCCAGAAGTTGTGGCTGCTCCATCACTGGAGGTTTTTAAGAGGAGTTTGGACTATTATTAGTCTGAAATGGTATAGGGTCTCCTGTGTGTGCAGGGGATTGGACTAGAAGACCTCTAAGGTCCTTCCCAATTCTGTTATCCTGTTATTCTGACTAACACGGTTCTCTTCATTCTTGAATATTCTTTTCTCTCGCTTACCCAGTTCAGTGTTGGTCAGCTTGATCTCCAGAAGGCTTAATAACCTTGGTGAGCTGTCCTTTTGCTTCCCTCCCACAGGTGCGTTTGCCAAAGTGAAGGAGAGCCAACGGATGAGCGACGAAGGGAAAATGGACCAGGAGGAGGCAGACGGGATCCGGAAGCGTTGCCGAGTGGTTGGCTTTGCCCTCCAGGCGGAGATGAATTACTTCCATGAGAGACGCATCTTGGACTTCAAGAAAATGATGCAGTCCTACATCAGGGAGCAGATTGTCTTCTACCAGAGAGTCAGCCAGAAGCTGGAAGAGACCCTGAGGAGATATGACAATCTCTAGGAAGCCTGCCAGATGTCGGAGCTCACGATGGTCCTCAACGCTACTGTGCCCCCAGCTGGGATGAGCAGCAGCGACCGTGTTTTCTTCTCTGCCTCTGGAAGAGGGAGGTCTTCTCCTCCTGGTGGATCATGGGAGGTTCTCCCAGTTGACTTGTGCTCTCCATCATCTTCATGATGCTGAACTTAGAGCATTGAGAGGGAAGCTTGTAGCCCTGTCCTGACCAAAGCTTGGGATGAATGCTTCCAGCCCATCCCGATCAAATTGCAAGGACCCAGGCAAGTAATTGTTGCACAAAAGACATTTTGACGAGTGGAATTCTTTTCCTCAAGAAAAGTCTAGCTTCTGGCTCTCCTAGCCTTGTTGTTTACAGAGGAAGTAAAAGAATTTGCTTTCCAAAGGAAATGTAGCTTTCGCTCCAGCCAGCATCCTTTTTTTCTCTCTCAGGCTTGACTTTCTGGAAAAAAAAATACTCTTATTTATCCAGATACTTTCCAACACCAGCCCTTCCTTTTCCCCCTCCAGAAAAGGAACAGAATCAGGTTGAACCCAGTCAAGGGTTGCTGTTTTTTTCCCCTGTAGCTACAATGATTGTGCAAAGCAAGAGAACAGAAAGCAAAAACTGAGGTGAAGTGGAAGGAATGAATAGGTTGGTACACCAAAAATGATTCTTTTCAGGAAGTCGCACAAACAACACAAATCTCACTTCTGAGGTCTATTACAGGTAGTCCTCGGCTTACGACCACAATGGAGCCCAGAAATTCCGTTGCTGAGCGAGACAGTTGTTAAAGTGAGTTTTTCTCCTCATGTGACGATCTTTCTGGCCACAGTTGTTGAATTATTTAGTCACACGGTCGTTAAGTGGATCTGGCTTCCCCCATTGATTTTGCCTGTCAGAAGGTTGCAAAAGGGGATGATCACGTGATCCCCGGGACACGGCGACCGTCAACCGTCATAAATGTGGGTCAGTTGCGAAGCGTCCGAATTTTGATCCCATCACCTGGGACACTGCAACTGTCACATATACACGCCGGTTGCCAAGCGTCAGAATTTTGATCACGTGACCAGAAGGATGCTGCAAACGGTCAAAAGTGTGAGAAACGGTCCTCCGTGACTTTTTTCAGTGTCCTTGTAACTCCGAACGGTCACTTAACAAACCGTTATAAGTTGAGGACTGCTTGCATATAGACATACAGGTAACAGGCAGGCATTTTTACAGCCACTCACTTCTGCACTACACCCGCCTAAATCCAGAGTTCCTTTTTTTTTTCCTCTTTGAAATCAAAGCAGTCCATGAAAACTGCAGTTGCGCATTTTGATCTGTTCCTGCAAGACGGATGTTCAGATGTCCAAGCTGGTCGATGCCTGTTTTTATTTTTATTTTAAAAAAAGGTTTTTGTGGAGGGCAAAGGGGACTCGGACGGGGATGTCTTACGTGGCCTTAATCCAGAAATGGTTGTTTTTGGCTCCGTGTTGTTTCCCCTCTGACCTGCTATCTTCTTTCCTTCTCTTCGTCTCCAAAGAATTGGGGGGGTGTTGAAATGTTTGTCGAATAAAATCTGGGGGTCTGCGAGATAAAGAGAGCTTTGTCTTCATTGCCTCTGAGGGACTCCCGGCAGTCCTCAGGGACCACAAGGGAGCCCAGAATTTATGTGGCTAAGGGAGGCCTTTGTTAAGTGAGCTACGACTTCCCTTGCCACATGTTTTTAAGTGAATCGCTGCGGTTGTTTAAGTTGGTAACCCGGTTGTTAAGTGAATCCCGCTTCCCCCCTTGACTTGAAGGTTGCAAATGGGGATCACGTGACCCCCCTTCCAGGACACTGCGACTTTCATACAATACGAGTCAGCTGCCAAGTGTCTGAATGCAAATCCCGTGAGCACGGGGAAGCTGCGATGCTCGTAAGTGTGAAAAACGGTCCTCGGTCACTGTTTTCAGTGCTGTCGTAACTCCGAGCGGTCACTAAGTGAACTGTTGTAAGTTGAGGATCGCTTTTACCTGTGTTCCTTGCAGTGGCAGAGAATTCTAGGGAAGGAACTGGAGACCTACCGCTCTGGAGGGCGCTTCCTTCCCGGGCGTGGAGGTCGGGGGGGGGCAGGAGAACCCGCAGACGTCCCTGGGCGATCAATTGGTGGATGCGCCAGGCTTTGTTTCCAGGGGGGAAATGCCGCAGATAAATCAAAGTGCGGGAAGGAAGCCGGCCAACCCAAATGTCACCCAGAGCAAGAAGGAAATAATTAGTCTTGTCGGGAAGCACACAAAACACACCGTGACCCCAGGACGAGCAGCAGATCTGCTGATTGTTTTGTCAGCAGCCTGTTTTGTAAACTGGCACCTCCGTGACAGACGGAGGCCGTAACCTGGCTTCCCTGGAAAACAGGAGGAGCCCCAAACAAGCAAGGGAGCCATTGAACTCCCTGCCCGGGTTGTGTTTTTTTTTAAAATTTTTTTTTATTTTGCATTGAATCCTTGGATTTGTGCAAATTGAGAGACAGCCTGTGGTGGCTTTGGGAATCTGGTTTCAACTGTTGCATGAAGAGGGTCTCTGAATTGTGCCATCCCATCCCTGGTACTTTGTGGGACTAACTTTCAGGCTGTCACAATCTTGTTTCAAGTGAGCAACAAGTCTAAAATCAGATTCCTTTCCCCTTCCCCTTCCTCTTCCCTTCCTCCCCTCCCTCCCTCTTTCTTTTCTTTTCTTTTCTTTTCTTTCTTTCTTTCTTTCTTTCTTTCTTTCTTTCTTTCTTTCTTTCTTTCTTTCTTTCTTTCTTTCTTTTTTCTCTCTCTCTCTCTCTCTCTCTCTCTCTCTCTCTCTCTCTCTCTCTCTCTCTCTCTCTCTCTCTCTCTCTCTCTCTCCTGCTTTCCCTTCCTTCTTCCCTTCCTATAATATTTTAATTAAAACTTTTAAACAAGAAGATTAAAAGCGAGCCCAAACTAAGACAATGTAAGGAATACACACACACACACACACACACACACACACTATATATATATATCACATATATATGTGTGTGTGTGTGTGTGAAAAGGAAGGTAAAGAAGCAAAAGGAAGAAGGAAAAGTTGACAAAAACTGAAAAAAAAGGATGCCAAGGAGAAGACATGCTTTGTTCTGGTGACGTTCCCTGCAGCCACCAGCACAGCTGTGAGTCCAGAGCCACTTTTGGAAAAGCCACACAGGAGAAGAACTTGCAGGAGGATCCACACAATTAACAGCTGTGCAATGTTGTTCACTCCCCTTCAGTTTAAAAATAGGATGTCCCAGACCCCGATCTTGAAAAAGTGTTACTCATCATTAACCTCATTATTCTCCTCCTTTTTCTCCTTCTCTTTTTATTTATGATATTTCTCTAAAGTGGGTGGAAAGCAGCTTTGGAAAAAAGGTTGAAAACTTCTTTGCCCATTGCTTGGACTCAAGGCTGTTGTCTGCCTGCCTGTATCCGCTCTTCCCTCTTCCTATGGTTTTTGCAGACTTTTTAAAGAGCCAGGATCCACCTACCTCAAGTTTCTTGAAGTCAGTAGAAGTTTTTTTGGCTCTCCTATCTGAGCTTCCAAACTCACACCTGTGCTTTGGGGAGTGGGTGGCAAAGAGAGGGGGGGGGAGAGAGGGAAAGAGGGAGTGGGAAAAAGAGAGAGATAGAGAGAGAGGGAAAGAGGGAAAGATAGATAAATAGACAGACAGAGGGGGGAAAGAGAAGGAAAGACAGAAAGAAAAGACAGTGAGAGAGAGAGAGAGAATCTCCCCCCATCTCCAAATCTCAAATATTTTCTCCTGTCTGCTCTAGTAAGCCCAAATCCAGTGCTGTGGCAGCATTCACCTTCGCTGGCCACATCCTAGTGATTTTGTCGGTCTCCTTTTCCAAGCAGCATTTGCAAAATTAGCTTGTGGAAAACCACAGTGAAAAGTTGCATTCCGCTCTTTTTCGGTGGTTTTGCAAAATGATGACCGGATTTTGTCTGTTTTTTATTTATTATTATTAAAGCTATTTTTCTACTGAAGGGTATTAGACAGCTGGTAGAGAGGACATCTGTATTCACGTGACAGGCAAGACAAAAACGATGCAACTAAAAAACTCTATTGGCTTGGTACATGTTCTCTCTCTCTCTCTCTCTCTCTCTGTCTCTCTCTCTGTCTCTCTCTCTGTCTCTCTCTCTCCCTCTCTCTCCCTCCCTCTCTCTCTCTCTCTCCCTCCCTCCCTCCCTCTCTCTCTCTCTCTCTCTCTCTCTCTCTCCAGAAGGAAAAGTTGCAGGATTTTTTTTTTTAAAGTGCTTTGTATACAAGGGGAAAAGGAGGATCCCTGCTGAAAAAGGCAAAAAATGAAGGAATCCAGAAGTCGAGGTGTGGAGATTCCAGGCAGCTGGATTAGATTCTCCTGAGGCTCAAGGGAAGAAGAAGAAATGGATGGATGGATGAATGTGCCAAACCTGCGTTGATGAGGAATCCTTGACAGTCCAATACCTGGGACTGCTTGGTGGTCCTTGGTGCTCTGTGAGCTTGGTGGTTGTAGACGTTTCATGACCCAACTAGGTAACCTCATCAGTGCTAGAAGAGAGTGGAGTTTGCAGAGGGGAGGAGGAGGAGGAGGAGGAGAGGAGGAGGAGAAGAATAAGTAGGGAAAGAGGAGGAGGAGGAGGAGGAGGAGGACTAAAGTCCTTGGAACTCTCTGAGCTTGGTTGTTTCCTTGCAGACCTTTCATTACCCAACTAGGTAACATCACCAGGGCTACACGTAGCTGCTTTTCTGCTATCTGTATTTGAGAAGCTCCCAGTGACTCTGTGCAAAGATCACAGCAAAAGCTTCAGTGAACCGGGGAATTTTGCCCCAATCTGAGACGAGTTGAAGAAAGGTTGTCATCACTCATCAGAGGCCCTTGTTTCTTGTCAACCCACAACCCCCCTTCAATTCCAACCCCCCCCCCCAAGAGTCTCCTTGCTCAGGATTTTAAATCGTGTTGTTCTGCCTAAGAATTCCTTGGCAAGCACTTTTGCAGAAGTTCAGTGAACTTTGGACCGGAAGAAGCAAGATTCCTGGCTCTGCTTATCGAAAACATGTCACTTGTACCCTCTCAAGAACACTCTGTAAGTCCGGCGGGGCTTCAGGACAGGACTTTGGCTCCACACACCGAAAAGGAAGTAACAACAATTCAGACTCTGAGATCTAACTCTACATTATCACTAGGGCTTCATGCAGGATTCCTCGGTCTTGACACCTTGAAGCTGGGTGGATTTCTGCTCCCAGAATTCTCCAGCCAGCAGTTCCCTGAATTGGAAGTCCATCCATCTTCCGAGTTGCAGGTTCAATCACAGTCGTAATTGAAGGACTAGGCTCTGAGTCAACGTTCCTCAACTTTGGCAGCATGAAGATAGGAGGACTTCAACTCCCAGAGTTCTCCAGCCAGCAATTCTAGGAATTGGAAGTCCACCCAGCT